TATATCTTTACTTTGTATTTTGTTTGTCAATCTTCACTTTGTATATGCTCAATAATCTCTTATATATTTTAATAAGTGGTTGCTCCATATTCTTATGTATCTAATCGTAAACAATGAGGTTTCATCATAATGTGACTTGATTATAAGAATTGTCATTTTTCTCAGTTACTATGATTAATTTTTCTGTAATTTCTAACTTTATTGATCATCGGTTTGGTTTGATTTGGAAATAGCCGCTTTAAATCGATCATCAATTTAAACAAAAATGTGCTAACCAATTTTATTTTTCTTAATTCTTCAAAAAATTGATCAAAACCATCTCACTTAACTATTTTCTGAGCAACAATCTAATCTATTAAAAGTGAAGTACATTTTGTACTTAACCTTGAGTTTTCCTCAATAATTACCATCTAATACCATTCCTTTTAATTAAAGATTATCTATTAAAATATAGCAAATACACTAATAATATCTATTACTCCAAATCCAAAACTTGATTTTCTCACATATATTTCGCTTTAATTAAAACAATATTGCCATATAAATCAAAACGTATAAGTACTTTATTATCTTGCCATATATTTTGCTATAATTAGAACTATATTGCCATATAAATCTAAAACATTATTAATACTTTATTCTCATTTAAATAAACCACCTTGCCATTATTATTTTCGAAATATATAGATCACGTAGATCCTATGCGTGATTAACTCCTAAACATCATTTCAACTTTGCAAATGTAAAACAAATATAGTACATAATAAATAATCCATTTTTATAATATAGACGAACTAAATTCAAAAAATATTTACAATTTTGTACATGAATCATACTATTATTCATGTATATGAGTAAAACACATTTAATACATATATTAATATATACAATCAATTTAACTCCTTTTAATATTTGGGATTTAATAAATATTTGAAAATATATTTTTGTCAAAAAATAAATGTTAGTTTATAATATAGATATAATTACTAATTTTAATCCGTTTTAGTTTCTTCACAAAATAGCAATGGGATGCCATTGCTTTTAATTCTCACTTACCAGCAAAATTATATATATTTTCCATATCTGACCAAATTTTAATGTGATGCACTTATTATTTATCTAACCAATCCGANAATGTTAGTTTATAATATAGATATAATTACTAATTTTAATCCGTTTTAGTTTCTTCACAAAATAGCAATGGGATGCCATTGCTTTTAATTCTCACTTACCAGCAAAATTATATATATTTTCCATATCTGACCAAATTTTAATGTGATGCACTTATTATTTATCTAACCAATCCGAATACCTGTTTCTATCTAAAATTCATTTAAATACTTATATATATATATAACATTTAGTTCTGGAATACGTACACAATTGGTTTAGATTATTTCTTGGTTTAGTGTTGCAACATAATCAAATCCAACATTTCCAAAATTAAATTGACTACTTTTGTATACAAAGTTTGTAAAACGCACCACAACAAATCGATCCATTATATAACATCGTTCTTTGAACAAGCCATTATAAAGCAGTAGGCCACAAAGAATATAGTAAAACAAATTTAATAGCCAATTATATTTCAGTTTTAATTATTATTATCTACACAATCCGATTAATCTATTAAGGGCACACTTAAATATTTTATATACCGATTGGTTTTGAAACACGTAAACAATTGGTTTAGATTATTTCTCAATTTAATTTTCTCAATAGAATCAAATCCAAGATTTCCATGAACACTTTTGTATTATACTCAAAGTATATTGAAAATTGTAAATTGGTTAGTTAATATACAAAGATATCTTTTTTCCCACCAAATCTAAACTAATAAATTCGTATCCCAATTAAATCACTTAACATTTAAAAAAACCATACATGTTTTAAAATCAATATTTATTTTACTAAACTAAAATTGAAGTAAAAAATAATACTTATCTATTTTAAGTTTTTTCTTAATATTTACNAATCAATATTTATTTTACTAAACTAAAATTGAAGTAAAAAATAATACTTATCTATTTTAAGTTTTTTCTTAATATTTACATATTTTAGTTTCCTTTTAACTAATTATAACCATTTCATTATTATCTTTTCTAATTTATTCAACAATATTTATTAAAAAGTATAAGAAATAACTTACTTATTTTTAAAGTGTTCTATCACTCCTCCAATTATATCATTAATTGTATTTACTATAATAATTAACATCATTTATTTTTATATGTTAGCAATAATAATTTCACATGTATGAATAAATTGCTTCATTCGTAACAAAAATTTAAACCTGTTAACAATTTTTTTTATTTGTTACATAATCAGTTATACATGGACATTCAAGTATTCAGTTGAGTACAAATCAGTTTTTTAGATATCAGCTTTTTGGTTTGAAAATTAAAATTCATTCGGATGTTACAAGTTTCGGATCGAAATTCAAATCGAATCCTTCTAGCCTAGATAAGTTTGTAAAACTTAAAAGTACCTAGAAATAAAAACCCGTGCGGACGCACGGGTCAGGCTCTAGTATATCTTAAAAGTTGTTTTTTTGTCAGACCAAGATTGCATATTAGTCCATAATCTATTTTTATTACTAAACTAAAAAGACGATTTATCTGTTGGTTTGTACTTATTTTTAAGACTGAAGATGATAATTAAATTATTCTAAAGCTAATTACAAAACAGTTGAAAATTAAATTTTTTTTTTCATGAAAACTGCAATGACAAACAATTTGATCATGTCTATTTGTATAACCGGTCCATTATATGTTTAAGATATATTTAAATACAAATGAAACCAGAATTTAAAATTAAATTAAAAATTATCAAAAAAAATCCGGACGTAGCGTGCGCCTATCCTAGTATGCATATATATGGATGTTTGTTTCGATTTGTAGTATATCTAAGCTATTAAAACAAAAATACAATTAGTACTTAACCCTAAGTTTTCCATAATAATTACCATCTAATGCCACTGATATTAACTTGCACATTCACTAATAATTTTAAAAGGCTTTCACGCTATATGACAAAACGATTGGACGAGTCCATTAACCTGTGTTTGACCTTGTAAATCTATAACCATAAGATCTCCAATCATAAAAGATTCATCTTTGTATCGCTATGATCTCAATATCTGCATCAAAAAGGTTTAAATAAATTAGTAGACCGAGATTGTTAAATCAATTTTCACAAAATCTAATTGAAATAACATTACAAACCAGAACTAATACATAACTTTAGTGATGTAATTGTATATAACATCACTAAACTGAAATTTAAATCCATTTGGTTTAGCTAATATATTAATTGTGAATAAATAGTATTCAAAATTTATTTTAACTTATTATTTTCAAACAAAAAATCAATGATTATAGATTTTCTAACGATTTTAGTTGGACATAGCTTTAAAACAAGATATCAACTAAATCAGAAATATCAATTCGATAATCATATCGATATGGTATGTTCAAAACTGTTTAGAGATCAACTAACTATATCTATAATCTTTGAACCCCGAAATTAAAGCTATCACATTCATAAATATTCCTATTTTAAAATACTTGCTGAATCTAACCATAAAAGTCTTTGCTAAATATTTCTAACATTTAGTATACTAGGTTCATAGCCCCCGCGCAAGCGCGGGGCCGGATATGTTGATGATGCATTACGCAGTCTTGTGTTTGAGATTATGAAACATTAGAAGTCACACGGTTTGATTAGTTTAATATAACAACGACCGAAAAATTCAGATGCGTTGATATTTTTATTTGTGTACATATTTAATTTTAGTTGTAATGTATATGAGTTTGAATGTATAACAGGGTGGTTAAGGACAAATGTTTTTAGTGAGCAAATATATGTTTTTAATGATTTTAATTGAAATTTAAAACTGTAATAAAACTTATAATTTTTTAGTTATATAACCAATTTTGGTCGGAGTTAACTGGCTTTGTTAAAAATTGTTTATTGTATAGTAACAAATACTAAATGGTATACATTTGGTTAGAAGTCACAAATCTTGATTAGAGCTGTAAAATGTAAATTTTTTAGCGAATTCTTATGTGTTAATATTTTCATTAATCATATTTGTATCCACTGCATATAATATTGAAGTTATTACGGAAGGACGTTAGTTTTTTATTTTTAAATGTCGTAACATATATTAAATTATTTTAAAAATGTAAGGTAGTTTGTTTGTGAAAATATAGATTAGGATTTTTTTTAAGAAAAAAATAGAGTAATAATTATGAGAAGTTAGATAATTATTTAGCAAAAAAATAATTAAGCAAAAGATGAGTGTTTATGTTTTTTAAACTACAGTTATGAGCTGTTTAAATAAATTGAAAAGCCTGAAGATCGTAAGGATTGTGGCTATTTTATCCTAGATGTTTAAATTAGCTTTAGACCATTACGTATGAACACATAACCTTCTAGGTAGTTTTTATGAACATGCCTTCTACGTAAATGGTGTGGCAATATTTTTGGGACAATGTCTTAGATTTAATATAGCGCAATACTAAACCTGTTTGATGGCCAGTGTTTTGTACCAAGCTAATTTTATTTAGAGTTTAAACCATGCCTAATATAAAGTAATCTATGCTGTTCCTTTTGACGATATTATATTTAAAATTTGTATGACACATGATCTTTCTATGAACACTGCTATAGATTGCATTAGACAAAACTACAAATATACGTGCAAGAGGTAAATATGTTACACGGTTGCATCGAAATATAAAATTAGAACCTTTTAAAAAGGACTTAGAAAATAAAGATTTTAGCGCGATGAAATTGATGGGAAAATAACGCAAGTAATAACAAACAAATGAAGTAAAACCCGTCATAGATAAATAAAAAGTCAAACCAAAGACTTAATTTCTAGCAAAGATAAAATGTGAAGGAAAAAGCTGAAGTTTTTAAGTAGAAAACAAATAATGTAGCAGTTCATGAAAATAGGAAAAAGATGACGGGTTGATAGGAGTAGACAATTCCAATCACTCCCTACCACGCTTGCGTTTGTTCTGGCCATCGGAAATCTCTGGAGGATCTTCTACAGCAAATTCCTCACCAATCTTGAGCCCAAAACAGATGGCCCGAAGACGATGCTCCCAATTCTACGTTACCTTCAATGCTTTGAAGAATGCTCCTTCTGTGTTCCTGATATACATGAAGGTCTTGTTTAAAGAAAAGGTGAAAAGAGTAAACATATTTGTGATAAGAAAAATAAGACAACCTTGCCATGGTTCTCTATAGTGTTATCTTCAGTGAGAGTGGAGACAGTGAAGGTATGGTGGTTGGGTGTGAAGTTGAAAGGTCGGATTTGAAACTCAAACTGCTTCCCTGTTAGCTTCTCAAGACAACTTGGTAGATCCTCCTCTCCACCGTTTGATCTGTGCAGCAAGGCCGTGTTAAATGGAAGTCATAATAAACTCTAGTTAAATGTCAACGTAAACCTAAATGTTTCATGGAATAAAAGGAAGTACTCCTGACAAACTCTGTTATTTCAGTGAGGTTAGTACCATAAACGAACCTAGTTCCTTGTGTGGAGCAGTTTTAATACAGATTACTTGATTGTTCAAAAAAAGATCTTGTGAGGTAAAACTCCATAAAAAAGAAAATAGGTCTACTATTATATTATAACCTCCTCGTATGAATCAGATAGCAAATGATCCTTACCTCCATCACCAGCCGGATGCTATATCACTTTATTACTTCAACGGTCTCCCACATAACCAGCCTGACAAAAACTCAAGCTAGTCTAATAAGTGTACTGACTAAAAAACATGCCATCTTTTTGAATGAAGTAAAGATTATCAACGTGGAAACTGTGCATATCCTTGTGTTCTTTTACACTTACTGACCCAACTTTGTTTTCTTTTTTTTTTCATTTATGTACAAAGAACCTTAAAGTTACGCATACATAGATACATTATACCAGATGTTCTGGATCGATGATGATGATAAATGATACCTTACATATTGTCTACAACCGACTCCAAGACCCGGTTTCTCCTTCTGATCCTTCCTTGGTCGTCCGCAACATTTTTTTCACCAAAAAAAATCCGGTAAGCAAACCAAACTATGCAATTGTTATTCGGTTAAATAAAACCAAGATTGCTCTCTTTGATTACTGTGGTATGAAAATTACCTGAGGATTATCATTGGAGAGATACCGAGCCAATGCTCCTTTACCACAGAGGATCTTAGCTTCAGAGCCTCTACGCCCTTCTTCTTCAACTGCTTCTTCATCCCGACAACCGCCTTTATCATATCCTTCCATGTACTCTCCTCACGTATCTGAATAAAATAACAAAAGAAGTTATATTTTGCCAAACGTACAACAGTCTGAGTGCAGAGTTGATGACAAGGGTTTGTAGGAACATTACCTCGTACATAGAATCCATGAGGATGCTTTCTAAAGAGCTCTTAAGCCACGAGCTCCAGTGTTTTTCTTTATTGCTTTTCTAGCTATTAGCCGCAAAGCCGTTTTCGTGAAATGCAGCTTTACCTGAAGACAAGAGATGAAGATTTGTCTCAAGATTTTGAGCAGAGAGAGAGCAAGAAAGGGAGAAGTAGTGTTACACTATCCATCTGATACATCTTTTTGTATTGCTTTCCAAGTGCGTTCTTGGGCTCCGTCAGCACCTGCAGTCCAATGATTTGAGTAATGCAAGAGAGTCACATGAAATGTTATGTCAAATCATATTATTACCTTCATAAGTTGGTTCTAATATTATATGATAACCTCCTCGTATGAATCAGATAGCAAATAATCCTTACCTCCAAACAGTTTAGGATTAACCATGGTAACTAACATCACAGATTGGGTTTTATCCCCTGTTTTCAAGAGCAGCCTCATCCCGCAAAGATAAATAGACAGTTATGTTCCTGTTGTGGAAACAATAAGTAGACAGTTTCATCAACTCGTGGAAGCATAACCTAACAATGAACTAATCAGCTATCAAGAAGTAGGTTGGAGCCATGTTCTAGAAAAATTTAATCTAAACAACACAGTGTAAAGCTCTACCAAGATGTTACAGAACTTGAGATCATAAGTTAAGCTTGAAAGGAAGTAAAAGCTTACGTACGGTTCAATTAAGAGGCAGACAACAACTCTGGTGGTTGCTGCAAAGCACAAGTCCCTAGATCCTCTTCAATCCTCAAGAACTCCAGCCAAGCTCTCCGACTTGTCACCGGTGCTTCTGGTGCCAGGAAGCAGCCACAGAGAAAATAAAACTCTTTAAAGATTCAAAACCCTTGTGTGCTTCTTCAGTGCCATCACATTAACATTAATCAGTTTCATTTGCTACAGAGTTAATCATTTGAAAAGTGGAGGAGAAGAGTTGAAAGTGAAAGGATAACTCACCTTAGAAGACCTCAAGGATGGAGAACACGTCAATGGAGAGGAGGCGTCTACTCTGTATTGAATCGCTGGAGAGTCGAAGAGATGAAGTTACAGATCCGATTCACTGGAACAGGAATCGCCATCACACCCGGACCTAGGTTTTCTGTGAAGGTTTACGGGCCAAAACAATACTAAGCCTGACCAAAAAAGAAAACATTTACAGCCCAGATGAAAGAAAACCAAGACGAAATGGATAAAAAAATTAGCTGGGTCCCACTCACTTGCCTACGTGTACAGCTTAAGAAGCTTTGAAAGTGTCTCATTATAATATAGATTCCTATTCTACCCAACTTTCAAACCAAACTTTCAGTTAAATTAGATTTTATTAGAGCATCTTCAACCTCACTACATATTTTACTACAAAATGGAGTGGAGAATGGAGTAATGAAGAAACAAAAATCTCATTGCTCCATATTTGGAGTAATCATTTTTTTTGTTTCTTCATCACTCTATTTCCCACTCCATTTTACAGTAAATTATGGAGTGGAGTTGGAGATGCTCTTAGCATCAATATCTCACCTAAAGAACTTATATATATACTCTTCACACTACATTGACGACTACATTCACATTAATATCAGAAAAGAAAACGTCGACTAATGAAAGTTTCAGACCTCTCAAAAAAACATGAATCCATTTAAAACTAAATGGCGATCTCAAGCTCAAGTATTTTTGATAATTTGTTTTGGTCAATGCTGGTTACAGATCACCACAACCGATACATGTGTAGGCTTCTGTTGAAATGATTTTATTTTATATCCACATTTTCACTTTATTATCAAACATTTTGTTGCTTTTGTTTAAATCATTTCATTAGTTTTATTATTTAAACGTTTTAGTTTTATGTTTTAGTTGTTCATAACACTATCATTCACATAACACACCAGTTATGAATCATTCAATCAAGTTAAAAGCAATAAGGTGTCTGACCTATTGCATTTGTAACGTACATGTCCTAAATAAATTTCATCTCATCTCATGAATTAATCATTTGATAATAAGTATTTTTGTTTACTTGGTAACGTAGATAAAACTAATCCGTTTATTCCCGAAAAAAATAATTAACAGAACCCTAATGGGATTTTTATAAATCATATATAATTTTTAGCTAAAATCAATATATTTATCGAAAGCCCAAATTATAATTGTAATCTCATTTTTTTTCTTTGTGGTTTTTTTCTTTCTTACTTTTTTTTTTGCATTTAGAAAATGATTTAAAAATCTATACTACATATTGTTAATAAAAATACTTTCTTGAATTCCGCAAAACATTTAACTTACTAGGGCAATACTTTTTTCACAGTAAAATCAGTAAACATTTTGCAAATTATTATTTAATACTCCCTCTGTTTCATAATAAATGTCGTTTTAGACTTCGGCACACGGATTAAGGAAACAATAAATTTTGCATATTTTCCTTATAAAAACACAATTACATATACACCTAACCTTATTTCAACCAATAGAAAAATAAATTACAGAATAAAATTAATAAATATTGCATTGAAAACCGAAAATAACACTTAATTTATAACGAAAAAATTTCTCTAAAACGACACTTAATATGAAACGGAGGGAGTATATAATAAACATTTCAATATAACTAATAGATTATGATGAATATATGATAAAACCACTAATTGTAAACACAAAATATATGATCACTATTTACATTAAAAATTATGTTTCGTACACATAATAATATGCAATTCATATTATGTTGAAACATCTAATATATATATATCACTTGAAATGAGAAACAAATAAAACGTAAAAAAATAAAAATATATTACACGCGCGGACACGTGGGTCAAAAAATAGTAACATTTATGATAGATCAATAGTTTTCAATTATATATAATTTTTTGATTTCACATATTATGGTTGGTTAATAAACCAATCAAAATGGTATAACATATTTGTTATTTAGTAATTTTGATTACATTAATCATTTTAATGGATTTATTTATAAATTAAAATATGGATTATTATGTTTACTTATATTAATAAATCTATCTTTCCAAAATAAAATATTTTAATCTCAAATAAAATGTCCTTCTGTTTTAATAAAATAAATAGATATGTTTTTAAGTTTTTATAAACCAAATACATTTTCTTTTATGTTTATTTTTGGGAAATATTAAATTAATTAAATCATTGTATTATTATAATTTAATATATATGTGTGAGTAATAATAATAATAATATGTAATTCAACAATTACGACACCTAACGACGATGAGAATTCGTCATTAGGTGCATGTCGTAATAAACAATTGGACGTAAAGTCGTCATAAACTTTATGACTAAAACATTTGGTCGTAAATTGGATGTCTACTAGGACATAAAGTTACGTCCATTCTTTTAAACGTACATTGATCGTAAAAAGTGGTTGTGAGGTAGTCGTAATATAGAGACGTTAAAGAGAATTAAATTACTCGTAAATTTTACGACGATTTAAGATCAACATCAGACGTAAAGTAGACTAAATATTATTACCACTTTACTTGAATCAGATTAATTCATTATGGCTAGTTTACGTCTAATTAAATAATTTAGATATATATTTAAATTTCAAATTTCAAATTTCATATTTTACATTTATAAAGTTTAAAATTTCTAAAATTTAAAATTTATAAAATTTCAAAATTTAAAAGAAAAATATCCAAAATATAATACGTAAAACATAAATAATAATTCAAATTACAAAACCGAAGAAACTAATTATTAAGGTTGATATCATCGAAGAGATGGGAGCTATGCACCTCGGCCCTTCCTCCATGTGTGCCTGCTCTTCTGGAGTGTGGTAAGGGTTAATGGTCGGATGCCTATTCTGCCACATCTATGCAAGGGCTGGGTTTGTTTCTGCAATAATATCGAACATCTTCGCCATGGCCCTAATGTGGTTCCTGCTGGTCTGGTTGTCCGTCTGGAGCTCTGTGATGACATGGTTGGCAGTCATCGCTTTCTTTAAATTCATCTTCAATGGCTTTGTCCGCTATATCGTCTTGAAGATCTTCATATCCTAGGTTTTGTGAATCAACAAGTAAAATTACATTTGTCGGTTGTTCATACACATCCAGTTCCTTTATGACATCTTCTTGCAAAGACGGTTGTTCATCACTCACTACTCGGCCTCAAGGTGTATCTTTTATAGCCGCTAACCAAGATATTCCAGATTTTCCGATCCTCAGATATGGAATAAAACAAACTTAGTCTGCTTGAGATGCCAATATGTAGCTCTCAAATGTTTTGTACCTCCGTGTAGCATTGAATCCACAAATCCAAACTTGTTATACCAACACCTCCATTGACGGTTGGGGTCGAAACAGTCACATTTGAAGAGGACGCATTTCATCTTCACTAAACCAGAGAATTCTACTTCGACGATCTCTAGTAAGATTCCATAGAAATTTGTTTCACCTTTTACACATACTCCATAGTTAACCGTTGCTCGACGATTTCCATACTCGTAAGTGTGAAAGTGTAACCTTGTGTCAAATACAAAGGTGATGTGGTCACCTTAGCGACCAGACTTTGTATCAATTCATAAACCCACAGATGATAGAATAGATCATCATAATCAACCTGTACGCAATTCATTAATTAATATGTATTATATATTATAATAAAATATCATAATTAAATATATTGTGATTTATACCTGTGTTTTTAACCACTTCACGAAATGTTGCTCTTTCCTTTTGTTATGATCATTAGTTGATATTCCTGGTATACATTCTTCAACTTGGGCAACGAAATCGCTGTTTTTGCAAATTATCATCATTATTTAAGTACATTAAAATAATTATATATATACAAGGTAATATAAAATAGCAGAAATAGTTTTAATTACCTTTCAAATTCATGCACCTCTTCGCAGTTAAGAAGTATATATGTGTGGGCACTGTGTGCGTCTTCTGTACTCGACCACCAAACTTCTTTTAGTTTTCCACCTAGACGTCCAATCTGACGGAATACGTCTTGAACATCTTTTACAACATATATCGACATAACGTCACCATCATCATATCTGCTCGGAGCCTTTTTCTGTGTACGGACTTATGGCCCAAAGTAGTACGAAGTGAGGTGAGATGTTTTCTCATTCAAACTCCCAACAACTATTGAATCTTCCACCCTTGCAAGTTTTTTTGCTTTCCCTTTTAAATGTTTCATGGATCGCTCGTAAGGATACATCCATCCGTTATGAACATGTCTACGAAGCAATTCCTTATATGAGAGGTGGACAACCAGATGTTCCATGACGTCAAAAAAAGATGGAGGAAATTTTTTTCCCAAATTACACATTAAGATCAGGATATTATCATCAAGTTGTTTGATGAAATCTTCAGTAAAGGTACATGAACTAATATCTCTGAAAAAGCTCCAATACCTGCAAA